ATTTTATTTTATTTTATTTTATTTTATTTTATTTTATTTTATTTTATTTTATTTTATTTTATTTTATTTTATTTTATTTTATTTTATTTTATTTTGTGAATGAAAAGAGAAGTCTATTAAGCCATGTCTGTCTGTCTGACCCCGCCCACTTATGATTAAATGCTGTATCTCAGTAGCCACTCCATAAATCCCTACCAAACTTGTACCGAGCCTTGCTTAAGGTCCAACTAAGAAATCTGTTAAAAATCTTTGAAATCGGGCAATAATCACGCCCACCTACTATATAACGGTAATTTACAGAAACACGAAAACTGCGATTAATCAGTAATTATTGAAGCTAATTCTCTCTAAATCTCTCATTGCAATAATAACTTAGCAGAAAATTTGATTATTATAAATTTTTGGATAATGGGCGTGGCGCTGCCCACTTGTGAACACAAATGTGCATCTCGGTAATCGATTCATCAAATTCAACCAAAATTGGTGCACCTTATACCCTTGGTACGGAAAAGCAACTTGTTGACAATTATTCAAATCGGACACCTCCTTCCGGTATAACGGTAAATTTAAAAAATACGAAAACTTCGATATTTCGAAAACTGAGGACACTAATTTACTCCAAGTTACTAATTACAACAGTATGTTAACAATAAATAAGACTGTTATAGAATTTAGGAATTGGGCATGGTACCGCCAACTTTAAGACTACAAAGGTCTATCTCGGCAGCCGCTTTATCGATTTCTACCAAACTTGGTTCAATGATTTCATTAAGTCAGCATATTATCGAAAACGTTTAAAATCGGGGAAAACGCCCCTCCTTATCAAGCAAAGGTAGTTGAGAAAAAGTTGAAATGGCGATATTTTATACCTGCGCCGGGAAAAAATTTCGGTTTCGCCCGAACTTATACTTCTTTACTTATTTAAATATTATTTTGTTTTTTTTAACAAAACTTTCATTTTATTTCTTACTTACCTCAAGTCTTTTACCAGCAATTTAGCTATAAAATCCAAGCACTCGGGCGACACATTACTAAAGGATTCATCTTCGAAATCGTATTTTGCAATCGTTACATTGGCCATAGTTTCAATATCGGTTTCACCCATGAACGGCGAAAGACCTGAGATGCTGTGGAATGATGAAGTGGAGGAAATAGTTATTAAGTTGATTAAAGAGCATAGCTACTAAAATTATAGTGATACAACTCGAAGTAGATGTGTTGCTATTAGGAACAATACTAACTAAAAACTGCATAAGATCTGCCAATGTTGAAATTAATTAAATTTCAAGAAATCATTTTCTGCATAAAAGGAATTGTATTTTGTTTTCTTTCTACAATAATTTGCCCTTAAATTTGAATCCAAATTCAAATCAACTGCAAGAAACAATTTCTCCAGCCCAAAGGCAGACACTTGGATGATTAGAAAAGTATATTACATTATTACGTCCGCCAAGCCTCCTTCTATGTATGTATGTACATTAGAGTGGTCCAAAAAAATAAAGTCGGAGTTTTAATGCCGGCACACCCTAGGATTGATCCATATCGAAAAAAATATACCCCTATTTCTTTATTTTCAAATCAAGAAATATTTAGGGAGTGCTCAAAGCGTTCAAAGTTTTCCATGTATTTTATATGGAGAAAAAACAATTTTTCGTAGAAATGGTACAAAACTCTTGAAAATCAATATTTTTCGACCGGAAAACTATGGTTCTCTTCAGGAGACTAATATCCAATTGTTTATTTAACCATTTTTTATGATTTTTTATTGGTCCCCCCATTGCATTTTTTAAGGGCCTTGGAGGACGTATAAAATATAGTTACCATGAAAAAATTGTTAAAGAAACAATTGAGCATTATTACTGGGAATCTCCTGAAGATAAGTAAAGTTTTCCGATCGAAAAATATTGATTTTCAAGAATTCTACACTATTTCTACGAAAAGATGTTTTTTTCTCCATATAAAATACATGGAAAACTTTGAGCGCTTTGAGCACTACCTAAATTATTTTTTATTTCAAAATAAAAAAATATGGGTATTTTTTTTCGGTATATAACAATCCTAGGGGGTGGCGGCATTAAAAATCTGACCTTATTTTTTTACATACATTTTTGGACCACTTTAATGTACATATATTCAGCCTACAATTCCATTAAGGAGCAGCCAATTTTCCTCTATAACTGAGGAACTTTTCAAATAACTATAATATGTAAATATTTACATTAGGATGCCTTACCAAAAAAGTTGCAGCTTTTCCACCGGTATTTTAAAATTTATTATAATTTACGATTTCGTCCAAAATATTTCGGAATAATATTAAGATGTACGTGTGCTGGCCCGATTTGAAAATACACCTATTAAAATCTCATTATTTTGATTCAGTTCATAAAATGTTTAAAAATTGGAATGTAGGGCTTTTAAGCCTTCTATAATATGAGGTGATTTCTTGTAAAAAAATTAAAAAAAATGTAATTTAAGTAGGAATTCTCAAATCGATCCAGCCCAAGTAAATCGTAATATTTTTTCCAAATATTTTGGCGCCAGCCTTAAAATATAATACATTTAATGATACCGAAGGGAAAACCGTACCGTTTGTATATTTTTTGTATCTACAGTGATGCACCCTAATATACAAACAAGCATACATGCATTAGTTTTCTAAGTCAATCTTATTGCTTGCAGTTTTTCACTTCACTTACAGAACATAACAAATCACACCAACACTCCACATATCCGTCGCATACGAAATACAATCGAAATTCACAACCTCGGGTGCGACAAATTCGGGTGTACCAAATAGGATCTGCGGGGGAAGAGAGAAAGAAAAAATAAATAAATTGCAATGTAAAAATAAGCAACACGATAAAATAATTACAAAATAACAAATTAGAAGAGTAAAACATAAACTAATTTGAAAGTAGAGAGTGAGCAAAGACAGGTAAAAGTAAAATAGCAAACATCAAATTCCGGGTGAGCTGTGCGGGGGAAAGAAAGTGAGTTAATTACTAGTGACAAGATGAAAACATTGAAGTAAAAGCTGCCAATGCATAAAAGAACGGGGAATCAGCTATTGTACCAGCTTTGAGGTGGTAAAATCTAATTAAAAGCGAATACTGTGCGCGTGTGGCACTACGCTGCGTATGAGCAACTAACGATGAGAAGAAAATAACCAGGTTGCTGTGGTGGTAGTAATTGGGGGGCAACAAGTGCGAAAATGTGTGCAGCTAATGCAGATGCATAGAGCAATAAGCAAATAAAAAAACTTGAAATGTGTGAAAACAACTTTCAGCTAAAGAGTTTATATTAGATAAGCTTTCTGCTGTGGGGTATAATCAAATTGGCAGACATTGAAGTTTTGGTTGTTTAAGTAAGAATCTAAAAGTGCGATTCCATGAAGCGAAAATTTACGCTTTAATGAAGCTATTTTTTATGCTACTGTGTTTTAAAGCGCTTCGAGATTATTTTTCTTAAAAAAATTCTTCACTATGTGTTTTGTTTTATTTTCATTCATAATTTTCATTCCCAGTATACATACATATGTATGTAGTACATATTAAATACCATTTTTCATAATTTCGCCTTAAATTATTTACCACAAAAAAATATTCATTCACTCTTGCTTACCTGCAATCGCTTATTGGGATCATATTTGCGTGCCAAACCGAAATCGATGATTTTAATACGATTTCCCTCTTGTGTTAGGCACAAAATATTCTCTGGCTTCAAGTCGAGATGTAAAATATTATTGCGATGTATAAATTCCATAGCTTCACAAACTTGACGTATGAATACCACACAAACACGTTCGGTCAGCACAAATTCATCATCGACCACGCGATCGAACAGTTCACCGCCTTCGATTCTGGAAGTGTGAAAAGGTGAGAGGTAAGTAATAAACCAACCAATAAACTAAATAAATAAACATTTGAAAAGTTTCAAAAATACATTGAATTTTTAACAAAAACTAACGAAGACAAATAGATGGATATAACTAATGAGTCCGCATGGCGTTAAAACGCCTAAATTTAATTTGACTTTATAAACAGGTGGCAACACTATTCAAAAATCTTAATAAATATCTCAAATGCTACATCTAAATCCGTTTCTGAGTGAAGAGACACCTGGCATGTTGTTAGATTTTCATTTCAACATATTTCAAATCACCCCGTACAGAGAGAAAAAAGGTCTAACTTCAAACATTTTTTTATTTGACATCTCGTTTTGAAATGTACATAGTTAGATATTACGTTTCGAATATGTAGGTAGCCTTAAGAAAAAAAAATTTTTAAACTAAAGTTTTCTTATAACCCCTCCATTTGACATTCGTATTTTAATACTTCGCTCAACGTGTGTACCAGTTAAATAAATGCGACTTTAAAACAGGTGGCAACCCTATTTAAAATATTTGTACATATTTTTCGTCTGATTTTGATACATATTCAATTAAATGATGATTTAACACTAAGCAGCATCTTTCAATTATAGTGGATGCCCTGTTGGACGCGTGGCGAAACTAAATATTACACCGGATTTTCACAGTCCAATTTGTTTGGCGGTCGACGAGATAGAATCGATATTATTGCTGACAGCTTGTGACCATATTTTTGATGTGATGGTCGATACATCGGTTTATATTGTAATCGGCTCGATACATTAATAGAGCTGGACAATGATACATTAATTAAAATTAAAATCTATCCCTGTAGGGAAAACACGAACTAGTGAACCAGATTTCTAGTTCAGTACTAGTTCTGTACTAGTTTTGTATCTGAACAGTCGAAGAGTGCGGACGTGTTTTTAAGTTCGCTCCGTAGTCATTAAATATTGTGCTAATTTACTAAAACAAAAAAAAAAAAAAAAAAAAAAAAAAAAAAAAAAAAAAAAAAAAAAAAAAAAAAAAAACAAAAAAAAAAATAAATAAATAAAATAAACAAACAAACCAAATGAAAACAGAAAGCGATGAGTCAAGCTGAAATCCGTGCTCAGAAGCAACGCGAGCAAAATGAGCGCCGGCCTTCAGTTCAACGCAACAACGCATATTTCTCTATTCGGTCCCAGAGTGACAGCGAAAGCGCAAAGCCCAATCCATCGACCACCCTCAAACCCCCTCAAGATTCAGGTCAGCGGACTTGTCCTCCAAACTTACCATTGACGACTCCGATGTCTTGGAGTGAAGAGTGCGCTTCACCTGTGCCGTATCACATTTCAAATTCAAATTCGGTAAGCGATAACATATCCCCAAATATAGCGGCAACAACAACTAGTACAGTGACATGTTTTACTACCTCTATCGCGCCAGCAACAACAACAAACACACCGGTACCTGCCGACTGTACAGCGGTGTCAACAGCCCGGCCTATTCTTGCTGCACAAGCACAAATTAACTTGAGTGCAAGCACTGGCAACAAAGGTAAAGCGCAAGAAAGGTTGAAAAACGAAACAACTAAAAATGCGGCCATACAGACTGGAATGGACCGCTATGTTACAATAAAAAGAAAACTTAGTCCGCAAAATTCAACGGGCAGTAAGACAAAAATAAACCGCCTTACCTCAACTCAGCAAGTCAGTACGAATAGATTTGCACTGCTAAGTGACAATGCCGATGATGTGAATAGCCAAATTTCTGAAGGTGCTGCAAAAGCTACTAATGCCAAACCTCCGCCCATTTTTATAAGAGAAGAGAATCCAAGCGCTCTTGTAAAAAAAATTCACACAGCTAATCGGTAGTAATAAGTTTCATATTATCCCACTATCTAAGGGAAATATTCGCGAAACTAAAGTACAAATTTATTCCGAACAGGATTTTCGAACAGTGTCCAAACACCTGAATGACACAAACACAAAATTTTATACATACCAACTTAAAAGTGCAAAAGGTCTACAAATTGTAATTAAAGGTATCGAACCAAGCGTTGAAGCTGTGGAAGTTTTGGAAGCACTTAAAGAACAAGGTTTCAATCCAAAAGCTGCTGTGAATATTTTTAATAGGAACAAAATCCCTCAACCTATGTTTAAAGTTGAGCTCTAGCCTGAAAACAAACCTCTGGGCAAAAACGATGTGCATCCAATTTATAAATTACAATATCTGCTGCATCGTAGGATAACTGTGGAAGAACCGCATAAGAGAAATGGCCCTGTACAATGCACCAAATGCCAGGAGTATGGTCATACTAGGTCTTACTGCACGCTTCGCTCAGTGTGCGTAGCTTGTGGAGAGCTACATGTCTCTGCCACTTGCAAATCAAACAAAGAAGACCCGCGCAAAAAAATGTGGTAACTGCGGTGGAAATCACACAGCAAACTACAGAGGCTGTCCAGTCTATAAGGAGTTAAAAAACCGGATCAACCAACGCGTGGCTTCCATACGTACTCATAATGTACCGAATGCCTTTGTACCCTCCCAAACGAATCCTGACGTCCTCTTCGCCAAAAGAGCCACGTCGCCAACAGTTCTATCAAACACCGTCAATGGCGTCTCGTTTGCAAGTGCCTTAAAATCAGGCTTAGAAAACCGTGCCCCTACAAAAACTGCACCTCAAGTTGCGCCGCAAGTACAGCATCCCCATGCACAATATGGTAAACAATCCAATATCGAAGCTATGATAGCGTCGATGCAACAAAGCATGATGAATTTCATGACTTTCATGCAAAACACAATGCAAGAACTCATGCGAAATCAAAATACGCTGCTCAACCTGCTTGCTACTCAGCAAACAAATAATGACCTTACTTAAAATAGCCCTCTGGAATGCAAATGGCATTCCTCGCCACAAACTAGAGCTGTCAAAATTTCTTAAGGACAAGGAAATTGACATAATGCTCCTTGCTGAAACACACCTAACTAATAGATATAATTTTGACATTTCGGGATATACCTTTTATTGCACGAATCATCCAGATGGAAAGGCGCATGGCGGAACTGGTATTTTAGTCAGAAACCGGATTAAACACCATCATTTGACTGGATTTGCCGAGAATTATCTGCAAGCAACATCAATATGCGTACAAACAAAGCAAGGTGATATTACGCTGTCCGCGGTTTATTGTCCCCCACGTTTCACGATAACAGAAAAACAGTTTATGGATTTCTTCAGTTCGCTGGGAGAGCGCTTCCTTGCTGCAGGTGATTATAATGCGAAGCACCCTCACTGGGGCTCACGCTTGTCCAACCCTAAAGGCAAGCAATTATATAACGCGCTTATATGTAGAAGAAACAAACTCGATTACGCTTCTCCTGGAAAGCCTACATATTGGCCGGCAGACCCGCAAAAGTTGCCAGATTTGATTGACTTTGCGGTGACAAGGAAAATTCCTCGCGGCCTTATTAGTACAGAATCAGTTGCAGATCTCTCATCAGACCACTCATCTGTACTTTTCACCTTGTGGCATCAGCCGCAAGAAAAAGAGTCACCCTATATGCTCACGACAAGGGCTACAAATTGGTTAAAGTACTCGTATAAAAAATATATCAGTGCGCATATAGACCTCGATCCAAATTTAGATACGCCAACCGATATTGAAAACTCCATAGCCGCTCTTGAATCTACATTTAGAGCAGCCGCTAGCATTTCCACACCCCAGAAAGGTTATGTGCAAAATAAAAAATATAATTTAACCAATAGGAAAATTGAAATGCTTGTCTTGGAAAAACGACGCCTACGACGGATATGGCAGACTCATAGATCACAAGCATCAAAACAACTGCTCAAGGCGGCCACACATGCACTGACGAGAGCCCTCAAGAACGAGGAACAGTACGCACAGTACCGGTACATCCAAAAGCTCTCACCGACTAGCACAAAGCACTCGTTATGGAAAGCACACCACAAGCTAAATGCGCCAATAGAGACTGAAATGCCAGTACGGGACCACAATGGCAAATGGACTCGGAGTGACGCAGAAAAAGCAAACACCTTTGCTTCTCATCTAAAAAATGTTTGTAGGCCAAACCCCGCAACTAATAATTTTCAACTTCCACCCGTACCCAATGTGTCAAAATTTGAGCCGCTGAAATTTGTACCTGAAGAAATTTCAAAAGTAATTAAGGATCAACTGCAACCAAATAAGGCCCCTGGGCACGACTTAATAACCCCAAAAATGATTATTGAGCTACCAAACTGTGCTGTACTTTGCATCTGTATGCTATTTAACGCAATCACTAAACATTGTCATTTCCCTCACCAATGGAAAAAGTCGACTATTGTGATGATACCAAAGCCCGGAAAGGACAAAACGCCCATCAGCCTGCTACCGTGTATGTCGAAATTATTCGAAAAATTTCTTATGCTGCGCATCTCACCACATCTGCAAGCCCGCAATATAATACCACTTCACCAATTTGGCTTCAGGGAAAAACATGGAACAATCGAGCAGGTAAATCGCATAACAACCGAAATCCGAACAGCGTTTGAAAAGAGGGAATATTGCGCTGCAATATTTCTTGACGTCGCCCAGGCATTTGACCGCGTCTGGCTAGATGGTCTTATGTATAAAATACAAATGCTACTCCCACAAAGCACACACAAACTGCTTAAGTCATACCTTTATAATCGAAAGTTTGCAGTTCGATGTAACACCACCATTTCTGAAGCCCATGCAATCGAAGCTGGAGTGCCACAAGGCAGTGCCCTTGGCCCGATGTTGTATGTCTTATACACCGCGGATATTCCTACAAACGACCGCCTGATAATGTCCACTTTTGCCGATGACACTGCCATAATCAGTCGCTCCAAGTGTCTACAAGCAACTGTGCTCCTAGGCAATCATATGGAAGCTGTTGCCAATTGGCTCGCAAACTGGCGAATAAAGGTTAACGAGCAAAAATGTAAGCAAGTTACATTTACACTAGAGATGGGCAAAACG